AAGCTATTGGCAGCTAGGCACTTGGTGAGGTTTCATATTTTGGCTTTGATGAAACCATGTTTTGAGATGTGAAATTTTCTGAATTAATTTCTCCTGGCTTTACATGTTATGTTTTGTTTAAATCTTTTGTCGACATGTGAATTTAATTTTTGTTTGGTGATTTCTTGCTGTCTTGTGATGTGCTTTAAGCCTTTAACTGATACTATAGCTTTCTTTTTTTGGGTACTTGTTAAATTCAGATTTACCAGCATCAGCACAATAAGCAGATGAGCTGCCCTGCAATGGCTCAACTGCTTTCCAACACGCTTTACTACAAACGTTTCTTTCCTTATTATGCATTCAATGTTTTAGGTGGCCTTGATAATGAAGGTAATGTACATTTAACTTTCACTTGCTAGTTATAAGCCTCTCTCTTTGTTAGGATTAACATTTTGACTCTGAACTTTAGGAAAGGGTTGTGTGTTCACATATGATGCTGTTGGTTCATATGAACGGGTTGGATACAGCTCCCAAGGTTCTGGTTCTACCCTCATCATGCCCTTTCTAGATAATCAACTGAAGTCTCCCAGCCCTCTTCTATTGCCTGCTCAGGTCTGTCCCCAGTATTGATTAATTTTTGATACTTATGCTTCAGTACATTTATTCTATGCATTTGCACTAAACAGTTAAGTGATTGCTGCAGGATGCTGTTACTCCCCTTTCAGAATCTGAAGCAGTTGATTTGGTCAAAACTTGTTTTGCATCAGCAACTGAGAGAGATATATACACTGTAAGCCTTTGTACTCTTACTTTATTTTGTTTCTTCTTTTCAGTTTGATTAGACTTACATTGCCATCACAGCATTCTTGAACTAGAACATTGATAGGTTATTGCCATCACAGCATTCTTGAACTAGAACATTGATAGGTTACTTAGATATCATATCATGATTGGAAAAATGCCGCTGGATCTTTATAGGCAATTTTCCTAAAGATTCTATGGTTTTATATTCTCTTCTATGTTGTGTGGTATGTTTAAACTTAGAGAATTTGGAGTTCTTTTAATGGTTATCCGTTTAAGGTTTAGAAAAATATATAATGGATGCACTCCCTTTTAGCTTTTAGCTCCATTGCACTTTGACTGGGGAATAAGATCACTTCACTTGCCTTGGTGGTGTCTTCCTAAGCATGCCATCATGCAAATAACCTGAGGTGAAAAGCATTTAAGAACAGCTGATCATATCCTTTCTTGTCTAAGTGCTCTTCTTTTTATTTGGCTGTCTCAACGAGGTGTAATTCAAGCCTTTTCTGCACTTTCTTGTGTATGACTTCATTGCATATGAAGTCCATTTGTGACTCTTTTCACCTTTTATGGTTGTTTACCAGGGAGACAGGCTTGAAATTGTTGTTCTAAATGCTGATGGTATTCGTCGTGAATACATGGAGCTTAGGAAGGATTGATTGATCACTATCAAAAACAATGTTGCCCTACTGAAGCAGAATACTGGAATTAGATGGCATTGTTTACTTTTTCTTGCCAGTGTTCTCATGTTTCCGCTGTTCTTGAATCTAGAACTGTACTTTCCTTCAAAATGAATGTGTGGAAGTCATGGTGTTTGTGATGGACATATGGTTCATGAAGCCAGCTTTAATCTTAATGAATTATACTTGGTTTATGCTAAAACAAATTTTATATAAGTTTCATTGATATCTTTGCTGATTTTGAAATGGCGTCTGTTAGTTTTTGCGTTTGCAAGAGTACAATATATACAGTCACCACGTCAATAGAGTAGAACATAAAATCATGAATTTTATTTGTAAGGTTGAGATGTATGCTACCAGCCTCTTTGACAATTTTGTTTTGATCAGCTAAATTCCTCTCCATCCATTGCCTATTTTCAAAAAAAAAAAAGAAATAGAAAGGGATAAATTCCTCTCTAAACACCATTTGTAGTTTGCTGCTGAGTCAATTAAAGTTTGAGCATTTAACTTGAGCTGATCATGTGCCCCTCAAAAGCTGTTTTCAGAAGCCCATCCTTTCTTCTCTAACTCTAATCGCAGTGCCTGCAAGGGAAATCCAGCTTCAATTCTATTCTTTTGCATTCAGAACTCCATGCATCATGAGGTTAAGGAAAGACATTCACCTTGATTCTCTTCCTGTTGATATCAAAATCAAAGTTCCCAATCCGTGATGCCGATCGATACTCCACAATTGAGTTCTTCCCCGGTGGAAACCAGAACTCAACATCATCTACAAGCTGGTAACCCATAAATAAATCAGATTGCAATTCTTCAGCTCAGCATCATAATAGATTGATAGGTAAGAAAGTCCCTCAAAAAATAAGCACTAAAGCTTACCCCCAATATGGGACTCTCATATTCCACTCTTACATAATCATCTTTCCTTTCCGCAATTTTAGGATTGAATTTGTCCGGTTTTGTCGATTTTATCTGCAAAACAAGATCGAACCGGATAACATAAGTCATGTCTTAGGATTTGTTTGGTACAGCTTTCTAAGTGCTTCGGTTTTTTTACACTATCTACATTTTATAAGTGTCATAAATTTTAATTTTTTTCTTCAAAATTTACATTTTAAAATATTTTTTTAACTTTAAAAAGATCTTAAATAGTAAAACATCAAAAGTTTTAAATTTAAAATTTTTATAAATTTTTTTTACTCACTTTTTCTTATATCTAAAAATAATTTTAAAATTTTTTTTAATAAAAATTTAAATTTATCACTCATAACCAATAAAATAAAAAAACCAAAAGCTGTAACAAGCTGCTCCTAACAGCCCTTAGTCTATTATTATGTTGTCCATGGGAGGAAAACTTGGAAATTTACCACTTGAATAAGCTCTTCCATCGCAACATCCTTGCTGACAGGCTTTTTCCTGTTGACCCCTCCATTGTAATTCCTATTAAAAAAATAGAAAAAACGTGCATCACATTCCCTTTGACAGGTCAATTACTACCCACCACATACATGTTTCTTGCGTTTTTACCCAACACCAACCTAATCAATAGAAATTTTTTTTTTTTTGACCAGAGCGAGCTTACCATGGCGGTGCGTAATGGGTGAGATCAGCGATGTTCTCCGAAGTTGATACACAATTTTTTGTAGCAGGACAAAGGGCCAGTGCCGGTGGATTCTTTTGCACTCCTAAGTAATCAGGCTTCTTCCCGCTGCATCAAAAACGGTTTCGTTAACCTTTAAAACTGTCTGAAACCAAGCCACGATTCGTCGATTTGTGGAAACCGGATAATTGGGAGAAAATGTGTGAACGGAGAATGAGTAGCGGAATCAAAAGGGTACCTGAGGTTGAAGACAGCACCGATTACAGCTAATTCACTGCTCCTCAGCACAATTTCCCTTCAAAATGAAAACCAAAATTTGCTTCAACTCAAAGCTCACGCGACGGGGAGATGAGAGGGAAACAAGAAGCGTACCTTCTGGGAATTTGGTCTCTAGGTTTGTTTTCAGGCTGCTGAGATTGACAGAGGTTGATACGTGGAACGACGGAACAACTGCGGGCTCTGTTCAAATTTTTTCCGGCGTGGCAACGGTAAATGCCGGGTGATGATGCTATTGAGGCCATCATCGTTCTCTCAAATGAAAAATCTGAGAGAATCTTTCTTCCTCTTCTCGGTGGCCGGAACTGTCAGCCTTCTCTGGTCTGTTCTGTTCTGGTCTGGTCTGGTGTTGTATTGTATTTCAAGGAGCCGATGCCTACTGGCCCACGTTACTACAATTGGGCCGTTTTTATATGATATATTGTAAAATAATAATGGTTTCTTGTTGACTACAAGTGCCAGCCCCTTTCATTTTGGGCCTTTTTGACTCCACCGCCGCAGGCACCGTCCACTCTTTTCTTCATTCCAATTTCCCATTTTTTGGTATCACAATGTTTGACTACAAAAATAGTTTTTTAGGGGCAGAATAAAAAACGAGGTAGTTTTAAATTGACTTCGCTGTTTTCTTATTTTGTTTTGTTTTGTTTTTTTTTTAAATGAGTTTACATTTTGGGTGGGGATTCCAATCCAATATTTAAATTGAGAATGTATTTTATTACTCTATATATATATATATGAGATTAGTATTTATTTATCTTATCTTTTAAAAATTAAAAAAATAATTATTTTAAAATTACATAATTTTAATAAAATATAATAAAAAGGAATAAAAAAATCTCAATTCATACTTCAAAAATAAAATATTTTAATTTTTTTAATAAAATTTATTGAAACGACATAATTTTGAAATGATTTTCTTGTTAATTTTTAAGAATTAAAACAGATAAACACTATTATATATATATATTTATTTCGGATGGTAAAGTCTAATTGCTTGTTATTTTGCAATTTGAAGTATATTATCAGTATGGTAAAATAAAGACTTCAGTTAAAAGGCCCACGATAAAGGGTCATGTGACTCATGTTAATTTTGGTTTTAAATTTTAGAATATTGTTTTTTAATATGGATGTTTACTTTGAGAAAAAGTATACATTACTATTGATTTTTAAAATAAATTAAAATTTTAATTTAAAATTTAAAATTTTATTTTCATTAAATATTAATATTTAAATTTTAAAGTTAATTATATTAGAATATATAATAAATTTTTAAATTTAAATATTAACATTTAATAAAATAAAATTTTAATTTTTAAAAATAAATTAAAACTTCAATTTTATTCTCTTTTACACTGCTCTCAGTATATAAAATTTATATATAAATAATTTTTTTTTTCTTATTTTACTTCTTTATTAAAAAATTCGATCCACAAGCGAACGCGCACTTCTCTTCCCTAAATGTACATAACTCTTCTAAAACCACCAGTACTAGGGCTGGGCATTTTTTAACCGAACCGAATGTTTACCCGAAAATCGAACCAAATGTTTACCCGAAAATTGAACCAAAAAATGGTTCGATTTCAACGGTTGTTGGTTTTATTTTTTTGGTTTCGATATTAACCAAATATATTTCGATTTAATTTCGGTTGAATTTCTTAAAAATTGAAAATCAAAAATAAAACTGAAATTAAGATAAAATAGATAAAATATATTAAAATATGATAAAATATAACAAAATATGATAAAATATATGATAAAATATAATTTATTATTTAAAAAATAATTAATTAATATTTATTTAATAAAAACCGAAACGAACCGAATTCATTGATAAAAATGGGTAACCGAACCGATTAGCTTATAATAATTTCGGTTCGGTTTCGGTTTGAAAAATTAAAACCGAATTTTTTCGGTTAATTCAAAATCGGTTTCGGTTCAAAACCGAAACCGATTTTGCCCACCCCTAACCACCACCACCACCACCCCCCGCCATTTGCATTTATAAGTTTCAACACCTCAAACTTTCATCTCTCTCGTTCTCAGTCTATCAGTGACGGTTTTCAACCTTTCAGTACAAAAGAGGAAGCTTGCTTGATTCTCTGCGGCGGCGCCATTCACTAATGGATCCGGTTGTTTCAATTTCGGTGCTTTCGGTTCTTCTCGGAGCTGTGATAGCTCTCCTTTTCTTCAAAACATACTTTCTCAAGCGGAGATCGGAAGTCCAGTCCACTGCCAAAGCGGAGCTCCAACCGTCCGATCCAAAAAAGCCTTCTAAGCCGCCTCAGCTTGTGCCTAGAAAATCTCACTTCAAAGTTCACTCTCACGCCTCTGACAAGGTACTCGATCTTAATCCTCCGTTTGGTAGCTTAGAAAATTTGGAGGAGACCTGAAGAAAGTTTGGAGTCTCAGTGTATAATGCTTTGGATTCTGATTAGATAAACTGAATTAATTGGCTAATTGGCCTCTGAACATAGTGGAATTACTCCTAGCATTGATAATTAATTCTTGCTGCAATTTTACGGCAGGAAAATTGAAAAGATAAGAACTATTTTCTGGTTTTGAATTGAGATCGCTAGAGCTTAAGGCAGGGCTCGGATGATGCTGATATATTTGTGGTGTATGGATAATTTTTATTGTGAAATGCAGGATCAAAACAAGCGTCATCATCCTTTAGATTTGAATACTCTCAAAGGTCATGGGGATTCGGTAATGGGATTATGTTTCTCGTCTGATGGGCGGAGTTTGGCAACAGGTAATGTGTTTTTCTTCTTCTTTGGTTTCCTTAATTGTATGATTTCTGCCCTGATCATTTTCAATTCTAAAAAGCCAACTTTCTTGATAAATAATTGGTCCAAAATTTTTCCTGTTTGAATCATTTTATGTCCTCGGGGAGTGTTTTAATATTCGTTTTTGATTTTTGGATTTCTTTGGACAGCTTGTGCTGATGGAGTGGTTAGGGTATTTAAATTGGATGATGCTTCAAGTAAAAGTTTCAAGTATGAACTGGAAATGCTTTTCCAAGATTAGAAACTATCACCTTGATACCAATTACGTATGAAGATTTTATTTTATTTTGTTGTTCTTTTTTCTATTTTTAATACTACTCTCTGTTGCCTCTCTTTCAGGTTTCTGAGAATTAGTGTGCCTGCTGGAGGTCATCCAACTGCTGTTGCATTTTCAGATGATGCATCTTCTGTAGTTGTTGCGTCTCAGACTCTTTCTGGTGGTAACTTGTACATGTATGGAGAAGAAAAGGTGAAAACTTCAAATGATAACAAGCAGCAATCAAAATTTCCCCTCCCAGAAATTAAATGGGAACATCAAAAAGTTCATGAAAAGAGAGCAATTTTGACCCTAGCTGGAACTACTGCAAGTTATGGCAGTGGAGATGGGAGTACAATTATTGCCTCGTGTTCAGAAGGTTCATGTTATTCCCCACATTGTCTTGTGCATCCTATTATGTATAACTGCTTGGATTATTTAACAAAATTTTCAGTCTTGGAGATGATATATACAATTAATGCAGTACTTTTAGTCTGCTATAAAGAAAATGGTAAAATGTCATACTCATATCATATTGTTAGAACTGGCCTTATATCTAAAGTACAGTGGGCTTTTTATATGGCATGTTAGCCATGAATGCAATAGAGGTACCTTTATCTTAGTGATTATACTGCAAAAAGACGTAGAAAGACTGTTGTTTTAGAATTTGCTAGGGGTCAGAGATACAGCTTTCTGAGGCATGATCAACATGCCTAAGGCTTTATAGTATATATAATGGCATTGTTACTTTGACTCTCTTTGCTTTGTTAAGGTAGGCTTCAGTCCCTACTCTGCACTGAAGAACCAAAGATCTTATTGTAAATGTTGCATCAATTGCATGTAGTTTTTTTGAATAGTTATCTGCTAAAGAATTGAACAGATAACTTTTTTCCATGTTATTTCATTTATTTATGTCTTTCTCAACTTTTGTGGACTAATTGTTTTCCATGCACATGTATATTCTAACTATTTGTTACTTCTCAGGGACTGATATTATACTTTGGCACGGTAAAAATGGGAAAATTTTGGGGAATGTTGACACAAATCAGTTGAAAAATAACATGGCTACTGATGAGCTAAATTTATATACATATTAATAGGAAATTTTTACTTTGATTTTATTGATATTTGGATGAGTTTTATGGGATTTTGTTTGATTTTACATGGTTTTCATTCTTTGTGTAGGAAAAGATTTAATTGGAAGAAATTCTACTTTTTAGAAGTAAATTGAAAAAATCAGAGACTTGAGGATCAACTTGTGCAGAATCCAGAAGTCAGGAACCATATCTGCTATTTTACCATTGAAGAAATTGCAAAAGGAAACCAAAAAGCCGACACGGGTGTAGTGTCGACACATGATCGGGGTGTCGACACCATGCGTTAAGAATCAGATTCTGTTTCCTAATTTGTGTCAACACGTAATCCGAAGTGTCAGCACTATGCGATCAGCACCTAAAATTCAGTTTCCTATTTCTGTTTCAAGTCCTACTTCTATTTCAATTAGGGTTTCTAAAATCCTATAAATACTCATCCAAATTCAGAATTGAGGAGAACTTGGTGGAGGCTGGTGGCAGCCCTCTTTTGGGGCACTCTTGGAGGTCAAGATAGAGGATCCATCAACAAGAAGATCAAGGATTTCAATTACCTCAAATTAGGTTTTGTTTTTCCTTAGATATTCTTATGTTTATAATTGTAATTTTAGATTTTATTATTTTTATTATGAACTGATTTATTTTATTAAGGCTATGATGTAGTCTAATCAATTCAATATAAATTTTGTGATTTTATGCTTTCAATTAAAGTTATTCGCATGAGGAGTTTATATTATTGAACTTAATGCATTGGAAGTCTGATCACCTTTCAATTGATTTAGTGATTTATGCATGAACTTGAGAAAGAATTGCGT